ATTTTGCTGAACTATTAAGAGGTTTTGCATCTGTGTTCATAGGAAATGTTGTTCAGTAGCTTTCTTTTCTCCACTGCCAGGAAGAAGATTCGTGGATATTTCTGTACATTTATTTCAATAAAAATGTCTCGCGTATCTACACAGTGGTTCTCAAAGTGGGATCCTTGGACCAACAACATTGACATCACCTGGAAACTTATTAGAAATGCAGAAGTCCAGGCCCTATCCCTGACCTGCCGATTTGTAAACTCGGCGTGGAGCCCTCCAGGTGATTCTGTGCACACTAATGTGAGAACCACAGGTGAATCACGTATCGGTAAAGTTCAAAAATAAATGACAGGGAATGGGAGGTAAGCAAATGCTTTTAGGCTGCAATGAACAGAATCCCTAACTGTTAAATCAGAGGTAATTTGTTTTTTCTTTTAACACCTCATGAAAGCTCTGGAAGTAAGTGGTTCCAGATTTGGTTCAGGGGCCCAGCAATCCCATCAGGGACCCAGACTGTTTGCGCTCAGGTGGTTCGAAGCATGGTGGCCTTTTGTTCAGCTTGCTACTTCAGGGTCACAAGATGGATGCTACAATTCCACACAGACAAATCCTGGTACAAAGAGGGAATTTTCTAGAAGCCCCCTGGTAGAGTGTTCTTTACCTCCATTGGCCAGAACTGCACCATAACTAGCAAAGGGGGATAGGATTACCATGACTGGTTTAGATGACCGTGATGCATTCGTACCTTCCCTGGGATTAAGGGTCTTTCTTTAATACTTGAGCAAAATTAGGGTACTATTAACAGAGAAAGGTCGGGGGAGCGGGCTGTCTGTTGCATTCCTACCTTCCCCAGGATTAAGGATCTTTCTTTAACATTTGAGCAAACTTTGGGTACTATTAACAGGGAAAGGTGGGGGGACCGTCTGTTGACAGGCAATGAGCAATATCTCATTGCGGTCTTTTCTCTCAAGTTCAAAGTCTTCACATCTTATATGTGCAAACTATGATGCTAGGGTATTACGAGTAAACTAATTCCTAACATCTGTTGATCGTCTACCACCAGGACATTCTGTGAGATACTTTATAACTATTAGCATCCAGCTTTGTTCTAGTCTTAGAGAATGACCTAATAGTAAATGCTTGCATAAGGTCTGTTATGTGCCAGATGTTTTTCTTAATGTTCCGTATTTTTTCATATATGTTAATGGAGTTAAATTAATAAATGAGTTATTAGTTTATCCCTCACAACAACTACATGATGTAGGTACTATTATTCCATTTTACAGATGGGGAACCTGAGACATGGGGGAGGTTGAATACCTTGCCCAAAGTCACACAGACAGTCTAGAATAAATTGCTGAACTACACTGTCTCTCCTGAGACTTAAACAGCTTTCGCTTCCCCAAAGCTTACAGTATTAGCAGAGCCTAATTTTTTTTATTAAGATTTTTATTTTTAGGTAATCGCTATGCCCAACATGGGACTCAAACTCACCATCCTGAGATGAAAAGTTACGCGCCCCACCGAGACAGCCAGGCGCCCC